AATAATAATAATAATAATAATAATAATAATAATAATAATAATAATAATAATAATAATAATAAATAATCCCCAAGGAAAGTCAGTGTGTAATCATCAATTTAACCCCAGCATATTTTATTACTATTTTTCCTTGCTGTCAAGTGGTTAAATGAAGAAAAGAGCAATGGCCACATAGCACAGAAAAAGCAACGCTCATTCTCGGGGTGGGCATCTGGCTAAAAATGCTGACATTGGAATTGATCCTTTGTGCTAATGGTAGCATTAACATTTTCTTGTCCTATTTCAATTAATAGTTTGAAGGAAGAGAATTGGTTTGTGGTAATAGATGTCTGGCATTCTCAGATTGGATTTTAAGTAGATCCAGGTTTTACGGAACATAGATACCAGGCAGGCCTGCATAAGAAGTGTGATCTTTGCTAAAAGACAGCACATATATTCAGAAATGTTGTCCAGCTATTAGAGGAGCTTCATCAGAGGAGCTGATAAACAATAAAATAGTATGGTGGCTTTGTTTTGCTTTTTAGCAATAGAAATAGCACTTAGATTTATATTTCGTTCCACAGTGCTTTGCAGCACTATCTGGGTGGTTTACGATGTCCAGAGGTGGTATTCAGCAGGTTCTGACCAGTTCTGGAGAACCAGTAGCAGAATTTTTGAGTAGTTTGGAGAACCGGCAAATACCACCTCTGATGGCCCTGCCCCCATCTATTCTCTGCCTCCCGAGTCCCAGCTGATCGGCTGGGTCTTCTTTCGTTGCCCTGCACAGGAGAACGGAGCTGGAAAGTAGGTTAGTGGGGTGGGGAGGGAATGGGGAATTTTACAGTATCCTTCCCCTGCCATGCCCACCAAGCCACGCCCACCAAGTCATGCCATGCCTACCAAGCCACGCCTACAAAACCGTGAGACATTTTTTTTGAATCCCACCACTGACAATGTCATCATATTTTACCCAACTCTCCGGGTCCTCATTTGACTGATCCCGGAAAGATGGAAGGCTGAGTCAACCTTGAACCGGTCAGGATCGAACTCCAGGCTGTGGGCAGAGAGTTAGCCTGCAATATTACATTCTAACCACTGCGCCAGGGAGCCTTTTAGAAGGAAAAACTGTATTAGTTCATAAAGCAGCTTTGAAAGGATGCTTTGAGAGCCATAATATACCTCTTTCTGCATACAGGTTCCCTCTAATTTTCATCCAAAATTTCTGGCTTTCTTAGGTTTGGTTAAATGTTTTTCCATTGCATAAAAATGTTTGCTTTTTCTACATTACTTTGAAGGTGCTGTGATTTTGTGTATATGTGTGTTTAGAAATTAGTGATTTCTAGTTTCCTATAATTATC